AAGCCCAGACGGGGCCCACGGCGGGGAGGGGGTTGGCATCCACAGCTTCCCAACCTCCCCCAGCAGGCGGGGCTGGGGGGGCAGTTTGCATGGCACAGGAGAAGCCTCACCTCGTGGCGCAGGAGCGGTTTGCACGGGACGTTCTCGGGCGCCTCCGAAGCACCTGGGGTCCCAGCTCTGCATGTGTTTGCTATTTGCACCACAGGCCCAGTCGGGATCCGGTGGCAAGACAGAGCCCGTGGCAGCTTCCCAACCTCCCCCAGCAGGCGGGGCTGGGGGGGCAGTTTGCATGGCACAGGAGAAGCCTCACCTCGTGGCGCAGGAGCGGTTTGCACGGGACGTTCTCGGGCGCCTCCGAAGCACCTGGGGTCCCAGCTCTGCATGTGTTTGCTATTTGCACCACAGGCCCAGTCGGGATCCGGTGGCAAGACAGAGCCCGTGGCTGCCACAGATGGGGGGAGGGGGGAGTAGATGCCAGCGAGGGGGGTTGAAATGAGCGATTTCTGCAAAACCCATAAAGAGACAAATCAGGCGGGCGAGCGAGGCCCCCGCAGATCGACGTTAGCACAGTGAGGTGAGCCCCGGAGGGGGGCTTGCAAGCCGCCCCAGGAGGGTGTTACACACCGTGGGGAGGGGGGTGCTGAAGGAGACAGAGGAGGAGGTTGGTGCTGGAGGGGCAGCCGAGGGGGGAAGTCAGGGCATGTGGGGTGGCTAAGCAGGGTGGAGCTAAGCCGTGTAGGACCTGGCGGGGAAAGAGCAGAAGCTAGTGTGTGATCCCTCCTGTCACGGGCCCACCCGACCCGACTCGACCTGACCCGACCCGGGGGTGATGGGGGGGAGGGGCAGGACCCCCAGGCATGGTGCTGCTCCCACAGGTCCCAGGAAGCTCTCTGAACTCGGACACAGACGCTCTACCGGTAGCTGGGACATCTTGTCCCCAGCCGCTGGTGCCTCTGGGCTGGCTGCTGCCATCGGGAAGCTGGAGAGCAGCGAATCTGGCCCGGGTCCGAGCAAGCCGGGGGGGGCTTCCGATGTGAGCGCGACGTCATTGCCAGGCCCCTCGCTCAGGGCTCCCAGACCTGGGCCCTAACCCAGCTCAGCAGATGCAAAGTACCGCCTGGGGAACTCCCCCCTCGGATTGGCTGCTTTCCCCACTTACCCACCTCCTGGGGAAGAGCAGCCAATCAGAGCTGTGCACGAGGTGCACTGGATGACACCATGTCAAAGGGGGAGAGAGACCCCAGCAGCTCAGCGCAGCCCCCCCCCCCCCCGCAGACGGTTTCTCAGCCCCCCCCTTGCTGAATGCAGCATCCTGCCTGGAGCCAGGCGGGGGGAGCCAGCTGCAACCCCCCCAGGCCGGGGAGAAGGAGCCAGAGAACACCAGGAGCTGCAGGAGGAGATGAGGCAGAGCTGATGGCAGGACAGGCTTGCTTCGGGCATTGAAGGGTAGAATTAATTCCCGGGGGGACCTTTAAACCTGAGGCCCCAGGAGGGGCTGGCCGGCGGTAGCTTTTGGCCTAGGAAAGGGGAAGGCAGGGAGGAGCCAGGCCGGTTTCAGCACCACTTGCTTTTCAGCCATGAGAGCCCCCTCACCCCTCCCCCGCCGGCACCTGTCGGGAGAGCACGGGCTGCTGACTGACGCCTGGGCGCAGGCGGCTCACCCTGGGCTTTCAACGCCGAGGGGCGGCCGCCGGGCCTCCGCTGCCTTGCTCAGAGCCTGTGTTGTTCCAGCTTGAGGGGGAGGGTTCTCCAGCACAGCACCAAGGGGTGAGGCATTGGGCTGGGAGCTCAGAAACGAGCGACAGCCGCATTGCCGGCACCGGCCCCCCGGTGTGGGACTTCTGCCCCCCAAAGGATGGCACCGAGAAGACAACCACACGGCTCCCCCGGCAGCAGCCTGGGCTGCGGGCTGGGATCCCGGCAGCAGCCTGGGCTGCAGGGTGTGGTGGTTTCTGGTGTTCGCCTGCAATGGCGAGGCGCAGATAACACTCGCAGAGGGAGGGATCGGGGCCAGCCACTTCAGAGCAGCCCGGCTGAGGAATCTGCCTCCCCCCCCCCTCCTGCCCCCCTTGCTGCAGCCACATTGCTTATTTTTGGCTGCAGAGGGTGGGCCCGTGGCCTGAGGAGCGAGACATGCCCTGGATTCCCTACGAGGCGACGTATAAACCGGCCCTCAACAAGCTGAGGCTTGAAATTAGATGAAGGTTTCTAATGGGGATGTGAAGGGGTAACCGGTTAACTAGTTACCTGGTAAGCATCACCCTTAACGGATTACCCGGGAGCAGCCCCCCTCCCTATGATCCACTATGGTTGCTAATAGAGTTTGTGAATGGGTAACCAGTTAACTAGTTACCTGGTAAGCATCACCCTTAACGGATTACCCGGGAGCAGCCCCCCCACCCATGATCCACCACGGTTGCTAATAGGGTTTGTGACTGGGTAACCGGTTAACTAGTTACCCGGTAAGCATCACCCTTACCGGATTACCCAGGAGCAGCCCCCCCTCCCTATGATCCACTATGGTTGCTAATAGAGTTTGTGAATGGGTAACCAGTTAACTAGTTACCCGGTAAGCATCACCCTTACCGGATTACCCAGGAGCAGCCCCCCCTCCCTATGATCCACTATGGTTGCTAATAGAGTTTGTGAACGAGTAACCAGTTAACTAGTTACCCGGTAAGCATCACCCTTAACGGGTTACCCGGGAGCAGCTCCCCCCCCTACGATCCACTATGGTTGCTAATAGAGTTTGTGAACGGGTAACCGGTTAACTAGTTACCCGGTAAGCATCACCCTTAATGGCTTATCCGGGAGCAGCCCCCCCACCCATGATCCACCACGGTTGCTAATAGGGTTTGTGACCAGTTAACTAGTTACCCGGTAAGCATCACCCTTAATGGGTTACCTGGGAGCAGCCCCACCCTCAATCCACCATGGTTGCTAATAGAGTTTGTGACCGGGTAACTAGTTAACCGGTTACCCGTTCACAAACTCTATTAGCAATCATGTTAACTAGTTACCCGGTAAGCATCGTCCTTAATAGGTTACCCAGGGAGCAGTCTCCACCCACCTCCATTTAATCAGCTAACCAGCTAACCAGTGAACTAATGAAAGGGGGTTTCGAACCGTCAGAGGAAGTGCAGCCTTCCCAGGAGAGGCAACCAACCTAACTGGCTTCCAGACGGAGCAAGTTAAATTTCTGGAGGGGATGGGTTGATGGGGCTGGCATGGAGCCAACCTGTGACTGCTGCAGGAACTAACTAGTGGCCGGCAGCGGGCACCAGATGGGGAGGACTCTGAGTTACTACAGAGATCCTCTCCCAGGTGTCTCCTGGCTGGGTCTCACCCACATGCTCCAAGTCCAACCAACTGCCTCATTCAGGGTCAGGAAGGAATTTTTCCTGGGTCAGACTGGGGGTTTTTACTGTCCTCTGCAGCATGGGGCACGGGTGACTTGCAGGGTTACACAGAGTCAGTGGCTGGCGGGGGCTGAGGCTGGCTGCCATGTTGGCTCGGGCTGCACGCCCATGGCTGGCACCTCAGAAGAGAACAGAGGCCGCGGCCTAGCTGGTTCGGCTGTCGGGCAGAGGGGCTGCGGTGGACACGTCGCGGGGATGCAGGCATGGCAAAGCCGAGGCGCTGGGGCTGGGATCCGGGGAGCGGGTGTGTGGAAAGGGATAAAGCGCTCACGGGCTGGGTGGCCTCCACCCGGCCCCACGCTCACCACCCGGCTCCCTCGGCTTTCAGCAATGGTTCACCGTGCTGGAGCACTGCCCCCGCCCCAGCTGCACCATCTCGGACCTCATCATCGGCAACAACTACGCCTTCCGGGTGTTCTCGGAGAACGCCTGCGGGCGCAGCGCCACGGCCGCCGTCGCCACGGAGCTGGCCCACATCCGGAAGCCAGGTGGGGGCTCGGGGTGCCCAACAAAGAGCAGCAGCCGGGCGGGGAGGTGGGCACCGCGTGCCAAGAGGCAGAAGATCTTGGCAGCCCAACACGGCAGTGCTGACGTGAGAGGAAGGGTCTACGAATACTCTGGGTCCATCAGAACTTGGCCACCAAGTCCTGCTTCCCCACCACCTGTCCTGCCCCATACCTGCTCCCCCCAGCTCCTCCTGCCCCTCTCCTACACTCGCCCCCGGTTACCGCCTGGGATGCCCCAGGCCTGCCCCTCCTTCCCCATGCGCTGTCGGAGGGCACGGCTGTCACCAGCCCAGGGTCTGCCCAGAGAGACCCGCATGGCACTGTGCTGTGCCTAGGAGAGGGTTAGGGTTATGCCCAGTGGGAAGCGTGCCAGCTGTAGGGCAGTGCCAGTGTGCTCGGTGTGTGCTGCTTGCTGGATTTGGTGTTCTCCCCTCTCTGCTCTGCTCCCTGTTGGGCATCAGGCCTCCAAGGGGGCCAAGACAGCAGGAACCAGCCGCCTCCTGGTTTCATTGCCGGTATTCCGGGCCAGGCAACACTGGTTGTGGCTTGTTGCTCCAGACTGGCCTTGAACTCACTATACATGACCCCTCCCGCCCAGGCAGGTTTCCCAGGAGCCCTGAGCAAGGCCCTGTGTCCCTGCTCTCCCTCCGCACCCCCTCAGCTGCCATGTTGGAAATACCACCCTGCCAGAGGAATGTGGTATTCTGGCAGGAGCCAGAGTGATGGGTTTTCATGGCATTTGGATCCAATGGCTCGCACTTGGCCAGCCTCGAAACGGGGGGAGGGTCTTCCGTGGAACAGGGGGTGTCCCCATCCAGCCATGGTTTCTAACTCCCCGGCAAGACCCCACGGCTGCAGAGGGGGAGGAGTGAAGCTTCCAGCACTTTGGGGCGGCTCTGTGGCCCCCTTTGGGATCCGTACCATTGGGGTCAGACTCTACTTCAAAGGGGGAGGAATCCGAAAACCAGTCCCCCCGGGCTGGCGCAGAGCACGGGGCGGGGACACATCCCACTGACCAGCCCTTGGCTGTCGCTCAGGGTTTGCGTCTGTCCCTGGGAGGAGGGTGTCCTGGAGGATCAGCGCTTTGAGCACCAGGGCACAGGCGGCCGCTGCAGTGACCTGTTGTTCCTTCCCTAGAAATTGCTTACAAGCCTGAGAAATATTCGGGCCGGGACTTCTCCGAGCCTCCCAAATTCACGCAGCCCTTGGCGGACAGGTGCACCACCCGGGGCTACAACACCCAGCTCTTCTGCTGCGTCCGGGCCTTCCCCAAGGTGAGCCTCCGCCCGCCCTCACACGTCTCCCCCCAGCAGCATCACTGGGCGAGTGCTCGGGGGCACCAGGCGACGGGCAGGGAGGAGCAGGCTCGGAGGCTGCCCCATTAGTGGGGCTGGTGTATGAATGAGCCAGAGAAGTTAGCTCAGAGCATGGTGCTGCCCCCCACCCCTGCCCCCTGTCCCGCTCTGCCCTGAGGCCACGCCCCCCAGCCTGTCTCTCCTCCCCAAGACTCCACCCTTGCTCTGCCCTGAGGCCACGCCCCCAGTCTGTCCCCCCCCCCCAGACTCCACCCCTGCTCTTCCCTGAGGCCACGCCCCC